TCAATCAACGGATCGAGTGGTGTGGCTTTCCTTATTTGCGCCTTCGTCATCGTCAACGTTTTTATTTTTTATTTTAATTACACGATAAAAAAATAATTATTTTAAATTATTTTATTATATTTTATTTATAAATTTAGAATTCTTTGTTTTTAACGAAAAAATATGATAATTAAATTTTTTAATTCGTTTTTTTATTTAAAATCTTAATTTTTGTACAAATTTAAGTTTTGGGAGTCATTGCAAAACAAGGATTCGTACATTTGTACTTTGAAAGAGAATTCTTTCTGAACACTAATAAACAAAGGTGGAAGCTAGGCATAATCATCATGGTGGTGACTTTAATAAAGTGTGTGTCCAAATATGCCACGAAACTTTGAATAAATTGGGTCACTTTGTCTCTTTCATTAGTGGCTGTGCCTCACCATGGAACAAACTAAATGTTAGGTAAGGCAGGTCCATGTATATATATGTTATTTTAACAAAAAGAAGAAAAAGATAATTAAAGAATCTTCATGGCTAAAACATGTGCTCTAATCTTATGAAACTGTAAAGGAAAAGACTATCATTCATTCATATAAAGTTAGATTCACATCTAAATAAGTGTCATTTTGTTTTGTAAGATAGATGTAAATAAAAACATTAATCCTAATGAGATGGTTTAGTTGTTAAAATTTTTGAGATTTCATATTAAAAATTTTAAAATTTAAATTTTGAGTCAGAAGCAAAAAGATTTAAGAAAAAAAAAATAGTTAACTTCTCTTGTATAGTATATTATTATCAAATGTAAAAAAAAAAAAAAAATTAAGGATGTCACTAATCATTGTAAGAGAGATTAATTTTGATTTATGAATAAACATTAATTTAAAAAACACTTGAAATTAAGATCTCAAAAAAAAAAAAAATCATCTTATCATTTATTTAATTATTTGGACACCCCCTACTTCTTCGGATCATGAGTTCTACCAGGCAATATATGATAAGTTATATTAGATTGATGGAGTAACATTCAGAAAATGTCAGCATATCTCGAATCTCAATTAGTTGTAAACTACTAATTGACAATTCGGTCTTAATTTTTTTTTAAAAAAATTCTATCTCAGCTATATTTGTTAGTTCTTATTCCAGGTTGTATATTGCTATTGTTGAATCAGCATACATAATTTTCAAGCCATACTGGGTGCCTTAGATGGAGGAACAGCACTTGTTATTGGATTTGTTGTTTCATTTTTTTAGTATAACGAAAAATGTGTTTTCCAATAAACTAATATTATTTGATTAAAATTAAGACAATGATTTAGAGTTAATTTTTTTATATAATTTTTACATATTATTAATAATATTATAAATTCAAAATAAATAAAAAATTAATCATTTAAATAATACGTTAAAGTATATAAAAAATAATATACAAAATTACCTTTAAATTATTTTCCTTAAAATTATTCATCATGTCCTTGATCGGTCAAAAAGAAATTAATTATAAAATTTACAAAGAATTAAGTCTTCGTTTATCTTGTCAAGTAATCAAATTAATATTAATCAACAAAAGGCAGCTACGTACTTCTTAGGTCACTATTCTTTTAATGATCTTTTACTATTTTTTTCGCCCCAACAATTTATCATCATATCATTCAGGGTGTTAGCATTGGGCCCCTTATATGCAACTAGAAAATTTAAAGAAAGACTTGAGGAGGTTATGGTGTTGACTCTCGACCATTTGCAGTGGTTTCGCTCTTTCCCCGTCTTTCCCGGCGATGAAAGATAGAAGAAATAGCATTGTTAGTTGGGAATGGTTGATTTAGCCACTGAACATGCCATGTGAGGACATGTTAGACTGAAATCCATTTAATCACCCGCCTTGACTCTACATTTTTTTTTAACTTAATTGTATGAGATAATTATCTCTCATCTTTTATTTCACTTTATCTATATGTCATGTAACTCGAACTTAAGATTTATTATTTTCAGTGAAAAAAAATAATCATTATGACTACTGAACAATTTAAGTTATTGACTGACTCTCACATTTTAATTAATTAATAAAA